ACCAAGGGTGAGGCCCTGGGTTCAATTCCTGATGTTGTGTACACACATACACCTGTGATGTTGGGGCTGAAGAGATGGCTCAGGGGTTAAGAACACTTGCTGCTCTTTCACGGGACCCAGGTTCAATTCCCAGCACCTAGCTGGGGGATCAGAACCACCCATAACTCCAGTGCAACTGGCACCCTCGTTTGGCTTCCCTGAACACTGGGCACACACGTGGCACAGATATACATGCAGGCAAAACACTCACATACAGAAAACAAAAATAAATACATCTTAACAAAAAGAACGGCAGGATCCCAATGACAACAAATATAAACATTATTCCAACAGCTTTCCTGGGCTTCCGTAAGCCTACTTTGATTTTCAGGGTTAAATTTTTGTAAGTCTTCATGGCAGATATTGAAACACTTTTTAATACATAAGAAATGGCATGCAAAATTTTCTTCATATGTTATTGTTAAGTATATTGTCAAATTTATTTAAAAATAAATTTAGCTGTTACATTTTGAGATTTTTTTTCTACTTAAAAAGTAATGTGCTTTTAATTCACTTTAAATTTATTTTGTAATGAAATGCATGACTTGGCAGCAAACTTAAATTAGCGTTTAAAATAGATTTATTTATGTGGCGACTGCCTTGCCTGTGTGTATGTCTGTGCAGCTCATCATGCTCGCTGCCCTCGGAAGTCAAGAGGAGGGCTTTGGTTCTCCTGTAGTGAGTTATAGATGACTGTGAGCTGCCACGGGGAGCCGGAAACTGTTCCTGGGTCCTCTGTAAGAGCAACAAGTGCTCTTAACTACTGAACCATCTCTCCAGCCCCACCCACCATTTTTGAAATCCAATTATGCTATATAGTCTTGGTTTGGGAAATAAGTACGCAGTTTGAAAGCTATATTTAACATATTACGATACCAAATACATAAAAGTTGTCTGTAATAACTAACATTATGGTATCTTGAATACTAAACTTACATTTTTTAATGGTTAATAATAAAGTAACCTGGCAAAAAGTTTTTGGTACACACACACACACACACACACACACACACACAGCATTAATTTCCTTGTCAACTTCATATATGTATATAACACATTCTGGTTTCTTTCACCTCTCATCCTTTCCTAGCTCTCTCTGCCCATGTCAATCTTCCTTATAAGTCTCTTATTCACACTCACATTTTTTTTGTGTGTGTGTGTGTGTGTGTGGGTATGTGTGAGGTTTTGTGTTTCTATAGAGTGAGTCCTGGCTGTCCTGGACTCACTCTATAGATCAAGCTGGTCTTGAACTCAGAGATACATTTGTCTCCCAAGCCTGAGTGTTGGGATTAAAGGTGTGGGCTGCTACTGCCTGGCTACCGTGTGTGTGTGTGTGTGTGTGTGTGTGTGTGTGTGTTTAATCGGGGCCATCTGTGTGACCACGGGCTTTGAACTATCCAATGGAGGCTGGTGGGCTCACCTGCGGGTACACTGTGGAAGTAGATGGCTGTCTCTCCATGAGAATTCACCAATGAGCAGGGTGGGGTATGGGCTTATGAGTCTCTCCCTGATCTGTCAATGACTGCTGATAGGCTCCTTCTTGAGCAAGGCCTAAGGCAAGCAATTATAAAAGCTGTGATGGCTGATGGTTTAGTTAAGCCTTTACCTGAAATGTGTACATACTGTCTTATTACACACACACACACACACACACACACACACACACACACACTTACTTTTCAACATCATGACAAGTGTGCTCAAATTCTGAGCGCATGACTATAGACAGTAATGTGGTAACAGCAATGTTTCTTAATATTTACTGTCAACAATCTGCTATCCATTATATGTATAAAGAAACCACATTTAACTATTATTGAAAAGTACAGAAAACGGACTGGAATTTTGAGTGTTTACACAAATCCTAAATATTAAGTGTGCCTGCTCAGTTGACTTTCTCTGTTGGTATATTCCAAAACACTTTCTGAAACATTGTTATTTTCTTAAACATTTCTTTTACCAATACTATAAAAACAGAAACTGGGCTTGAACCTTTAGGGCCAAGTATAAAATGTGTAGGAGTCCTGGGACATGGTGAATCCCAGTGATTATTGTGGTGCAGCTGCTAGGAGGCACTCCCTGCTCCGGCCTGGGCACATTCATTATAGGAAGTTCCAGGAGGGCGAAGGGACAGAGATGGGGGTCCTGAAAACAGGGGGCAGGCGGAAGTCAGGCTGGTATGCTTTGCCACTGACAGCACCAGGGACCTGGGGCTTTCTGTCACAGCCTGGCAGGTTCTGGAGAGTCCCTCAGAGCTTGGATGGTCAAGACTCAAGCATCACACACACCAAGCACGGCTGGCCCGGTTCAGGTATGAGACAGTGTGTGCACAGCTTCCTGGGCCCCACGTCTACTGAGGTCCCACATCTTTCTGCAGTGGAGTCCAAACCGCTACCTAAAAGACCATGGAAAATTCTGGCCTCAGAACTGAGAACAGGTGTCTCTCCTTGGGAATGCTCAATTGTTTGGGTTTAGAACGTCATTAACTATCAAGCAATGATCACAGTTCCCCCTTCAAACTGTTCATTAAGAAGCACACAGTAAAATTTGTTTTTTTATGCACCACGAGGGATTTTATAGAAGTTGCCTTTATGCTAACAGCCCTGCTCCCTTTAGTTGCTGTCCCTCATATTTCACTCCCACTATGCTTTCCTTTCCGTGGGCTGTGTATGTGATCCTTGCGGATAGAGCAGGTTACTAATAGCCCTCGGTTTATAAAGATGCAACGGTATTAGAAATAATCCAGTTCTATCTGGTGTATTTCACAGATGAACAACCCCACTCTCAGTGGATACCATTTCAAAGTCTGGCTGCAAGGCAGGGAACCCAAAAGGAGCTTATGATTCTTTCGGTTAGCATATCACAAAATAGAAAAAAAAAAACAAAAAACAACTACTTGAATATATATGATGTAGAAAAAAAGAAATTCAGACATGTCTTTAAAAAGATTATCAACAAATACCAGGAAGTTTCAAAATAACACAACAAATGATTTACATTAATTCTGTAAAAGATGGCTTTTAGCTGTTTAAGATTCATCTTTACGTTGATCTTTAGTTGATCATTTAGTTATTCATCTTTAGTTGATCTCAAAAGCCCTGGAAGGTGCACAGTAACTCAGCAATCGGACACTATCAGAACTGCACATTTAGAAGCCTCATGATTTACAAAACGCAGCAGTTGGGAAATATTCAAGGGGGTTACTGTTCCATTTGTAAGGCCAGGCTGCGAAGTGAGGAATTAGCTAACTGCACACGTAAGGTCGAGCTTTAAGCTTGGGCCTGGGATCGGCTCAAGTTTATATTTCTGCCCTGCAGTCTCTGGTCCAGATTGCAGAGACTCCTTCTGCAGTTGGTGTGTTTTAAGGTACTGAGCACTGTGGTTGGTACCCTCTCTGTGTCCTTTGCCATGTGCCAGTTACTCTCTGCACACCATAAATGTGTTTTTCTCTTATTTAGGTAGCACATAACTGTTTCCATGGGCTCCAAGTTAACGTCACTGGTGATGATAGGAGTGAGAAGCTGCCTGGCATGCTCAGGAAGCCTTTCTGAGTTTCTGGGATTGAAATTCTTGAAGCTGCAGTGCTTAGATGGACGTCCTGCTCTCATAAGGACCTTTTATGTAATGCATGCATAATGCAGGGCTAAGAAAGCAACCAAGGAAAACGTTTTTCCAAATTATAACTTGCATCTTGGTAATGAGAAGCTATTAAAACATAGTTAAAAAAAAAACCCTAAGCTGATATGTTTCTTAGAATTCTGTGGTTTCCCACTGCTCTGCTACTTTCCCATTCTGTATGCACAGCAGAGATTCCTGCCAAGACTATTACAGTGAGCAAACAATGTCCTCTCTGTCAGAGCAGAGAATGAATAGTATCACAAAATTCTCCTCTAATGTACAGCCTACACTACCCACAGGAGAAGAGCCAGGGAGGGTGAGGATAAAACCCAGCTCTCCCTTTGCCAATCTGTTCTGCTTTCCAGAACACCAAGGTAGAATAATGCCAACCATACATTATCTTCTGATCAGAGAAAGTTGACAAGCAGATTTTAAATCTGCTTGTGTATTGTTTCATCCCTGTGGATACGAGTCCACAGATATTTCTGTAAGGAAAAAGGAAGTGCTTCATCAGATCAAATCCCAGGGCTTAGTGAAAATAGCTTTTTGCTACAAACTAAACAGCAAAAGAGGAACTTCATAAAAATGACATAGCAGTTTGTGTTAAGATACTAGGAGCTGAGTCAAGTGTGCCAAAGCTGAGGATGGCTCTATCGCTTCCGTTAAGAAGTCCGTGCCTGCTAAGCTCTTGACTCATAAAGAGAGAGCCTGGAGCTACTGCTCTGGATATGCAAGAAAAGGCTGGCCCATTGGTCTCAAGGTCTGTCTATGTCCTCCCCAACCCCAGCCCCACACCAAGTGCTTAGCTCCTCTTTAGAAGAGGCATTGAGTACATTACCTTCTAAAACAAGATGTTTATGAAGCATTTGAACAAACCAATGAAAGTTTTACTTAGTGTGCATTTTCAGAAAAGAACAGAGATTTCTTTAATTTTTTCTTATTTGTTAAGTCTTAGTTGGTGCAAAGCATAATGGCCCAGGACCCCCTGTGTGACATATATAGATCATATACTTTATTTGACCTTCAATTAGAATCACTCATCTCTGTCATGATAAAGGAATGAATGCTATTTTCAGTCTAAACACAACAGCTCTCTTTCCTCCCTCTTCCCACACACTTGCTGACCAGTCCTATGATCTCCCAGGGTGAGGTGGTATTCTCTTGGTGACACATTTAGTGAGGCTGCAAGAAGACGCCACAGCCCTTCTTTCTTCTCTCTCCCCCCCTTTCACTCACCCAGTCCTAGTCTGCACAAGACTAGACAATCAGACCTCTGTGCTGTCCCCCTGCCATCTGAAAATGCTAACTATGCGCGCTCTTCTTCCTACAACGGTAATATTTACCTTGGAGAAACGGTTGTCCAAAAAAGTATTTCTAAGTTCTGGGATATATTCCGTTCAAGGGCTGCTACGCTGAGATGCTCTCTTCTTTCTTGGCCTGTAACCAGAAAGGAAGAAAGACTGTCAGGGGGGCAGGGAATGCGTGTGAACAGGCTGTGACAGACACTCGCCAGCTTACTGTGAAAATGCTGGCCTGTTTACCAGACACTGAGGTTTGCATGCCTTTCTAAAGAGGACACACTTTTAACTTCTAAACAGGCAGAAGCTCTAACAGCACTGGATACATAACAAATCTTTTTTTTTTCTCTGAAATAACAGCCACGTAAGTACTTGATCAAAAATGGATCAATTTACAAGAAAGACATGTCTAAGTCTTTCTAGTTTGTGGCAGATAAATCTGTATGTTACTGTAGTCCAATTAAAATCAAGTTAACTGTTACCTACATTTGAGATAAGAACTCCTTATTCATATGAAAAGAACATTCATGCTTTTTAGCAAGCTGAGCTGTGACTCAATTCTGACACTTTCTCATGGAAAGGAAGCTGTGGTACTGTGGTATGACCATCAGGATCATTAATGCCATGCCATCACCATGGAAATGAGAAGGACTCTCAGAAATGGAGGCAACCACAGGGAAGACACCATCAACCTTCCCTGGTTCATCAGCTCCCACCCTCTGCCATTGGCCCAGCCCTTCTCCCACCTCGCTTTCCTCTCTGTTCCGTTTCCCATCCTTAAACAAATCTCTTCTGTATCGAGTCTGTGTCACGTGTGTGGGTGCCAGTGGAGGCCGGAGGAAGCATTAGGGCCTCCAGAGCTGGAGTTATTGGATGTTTGAGGCACAAGACTTGGGTCCTCTGGAAAAGCAACAAGGATCTTAACAAAGCACTGCCTCTCTAGCCCCTGGCACACTCACTTTACATAGGACACTGCTGTTGGGGGGTGAGGGGGCATGACAGAGGGAGGAGAGGAATGGAGTGAGCCAGGAAGGACTGAGTTTATTCATATTCTAGTGAATATGATGATGGATTCTAGCTGTTGACTAAGACCAGAGCTTCTCACCTCTTGATTATTTTAGCAGACTGAGGTATAAATTCTTCTTCCTTCTCCTTCTTCTTCTCCTCCTCCTCCTCCTCCTTCTCTTCCTCTTCTTCTTAGCATTCCACGGTGACATGAGCCATCCAGATTTATATTTACTGCTGTTCTTTTGGACATATCATAATTTCTGAGTGCTGCTTTCTTTTGCTGCAGAACCAGCACGTTATTTCTGTTATATTAAGATATGACTATTCTTTCCCTGCCAGTTGTCAAGTGAGGACAGGCCGAGTTTTGTTTGCCAATGCATTCAGCTACATTGTTATTTTCTTATTCCTAAAATAAATCTAAAACTATCAGAGCAAGGCGCACAATCACGGGTTGTCTTCCTCTAACCCAGCTCCGGGTCTTTCTCTGCCAATCACACAGAGCAGGAGGACAAGGCTTCACTGGCTGAAACAGTCCTGGGCTGAGGGAGTTCCAGAGACATTGCTCCACTCTTTCATCAGCTTTCCAGTCAGACTTCTCCCACGCTCCTGCATTCAGATGCATTTAGATGCAAGTTCCAGCGGAAACCTTTTGGCTTTTCTACATCAATGCCCAAGCTCAGGAAACTCTTGAATTAGTCAGAAAGATGAGCAAGATTTAATTATCCAAGACCAGTAGCTTCAGGTCAGGTTTTATTTGTTTATTTTTAAATATGAAATTCTGTCAGTGCACACTGGCAACAGTATTTCAGGGCTGGGGATACAGTCTGTGGTAGACTGTATCCTACAGTCTCTAGGTTTAATCCCTAGTATCACAATACATTCAAATAAAATCAATGTTTATTTTCAATTGCTAGATGTGAATAAAGAGCCTGACTTAGAAACTCAGCAGTTTGAAGTGGTGCATAATTTTTCATTGCCAAAATAGCTAGAGCATGAGTTAAAAATATTCTGGGGAAACAAAGTCATTGAGATAGTGTGGTAGTATCACAAAGGCAGACTGAGATACTGATTAAACGGGGTAAAATTCACCACCCATGCACGCAAACCCATATATTTTATTCCCTCAATTCCACAGTCAGTCCCCCTTTATCAGAAGGGCCAAGACCACAGAGAAAGAATGGTTACTTTAGCAACCACTGCAGGGACAGGTTATAGCCACGTACAAAATAAGAAAGTGAATCCTGAACTCACACCATTTAAAGCTAGCTGAAATGATAAACGGAAATAGCAAAACTATCAAAAAGTACTTAAAAAGAAAGCACAGGTAAATTTCCACAGGATCAGATACGGCCAGTGAAGCTACTGATATGATGCCAAGTATGCAATCAATAAAATATAAAATAAAAAGATGTGTGTTTTAGGAAACGTTGTACATAATAAAAATGACATCCCAAAGAAGAGAAATAGATGCAAAACCACCTGATAAAGGTGTTGTCGCTAGAATATATAAAACCTCTTAGAGCTTAATAAGATATCCAAGTTCCAAATGAGCGAAGTCCTAATAAGCATTTCTACAAAAGAACCTAGAAAAGGGCATCAAGTGCACAGATGGTCAGAATGTAAGCATAAACCACAATGAGATGTTGCGTCATCCCCTCCCACGAAAAGAGTAACATGTGCGAACAGGATGTGAAGAAATCCGAACTTGCAGACCCTCTGCCAGGAGTACAAGACGATTGGCAATCCACTTTCCAAAAGTGTTAAACCATAGAGGTATCACCTCACCTAAGTTATATTCCTAAGTATATAAAAGAGAAGCAAAACCAGAAATAACCCACGTGTCCATCATCTGGTGAACAGAAACGGAAACGGTAAACACGTATATTCCACATATAGAGTGGAATGTCATATTGACATAGGTTTAACGTGGATGTTCTTGGAACGCATGGTAAGGCAAAGAAGCCGGTGACTCTATATATTGACATAGAAATGTCCCAAAGTGGTTAAATAAAGAAAGTTGGATGTATAGAGAAAGAGTGAATGCTTAGAGATGGTGAAGACAGGAGGTAGAGCAGATGGCGAATGGGTGCTGAAAATGTTCCACAAATGATGCTTGTGTTGCTCTATACTAAAGCCCATCGAAAGGGCACATTTAGATGCAATGTTTGGGAGTGTGGTACCTGTGGTATGAGATCTGATTTTGAAAAAGGCTTGGTCCGGCAGAGAGAGTCATCGCAGTGGTCAGGTCACGGCGGTATCTCAGCATGGGTGATTACAATTGTACAAACAAATTCCACCAGTACTGAGAAAGCCTCCGTTGTGAACGAGGAACAGGTGACGTGATTGGTGGCATACTCCACCAGTGGGGCCCATTTAAACAGCCTAAAAACTTGAGGCGTTAGTCACTACCACTTCAGTTTTGGGGAGGGCAAGATGATATGTGTGTGAGGAAAGGGGGAAGATGTGGATGGCCAAGAGTAGCCAGGACTGACTGGTGTTGCCTAGCATACCGCTTTTATACCGAAAGCCAGAGGTCACAGAGCTTTTATCAGCTACACCATCCAGCGAGTACAGCGTCTAGATAAAACAATGTACATTTCCTTCCAGTCTGACATGGCCAAGCCCCACCTCTTTCCTGAGCCTTTTGCAACTGAACATGGGGCAGGCTGCTTAGGTTGTTTCTGTGGTGGTTCTGCTGCTCAGCTTTGGGGTACAGAATTAAAAGTTAGGGTGTTCCTGATTCCTGCACTGTCTGACATTTGTTACATAGCCATCTTTCATGGCTTAAAGCAGCGCTACGGAGTTTCACCCAGATGAGGCCTAATGTTGACTAAGGATTAAGATAAAATCCCAAGAGCCCTTCTCCAGGAAGATAGCAATTTATTAGTCAGGTCCTCTGGGACATGCCTACTAAATCAGCTATTAATCCAGATAATTATACACATCCCCATTTGTCACAATGATAAATGTCAGCAATTTGATAGATTTTTTTGGTAAAAACAAAAAAAACCAAAAAACAAAAAAACCCATAAATGAATGCACACTATTTTCTGCTAGTTCATTGACATTCTGCCATGGGTTTAACAAATTAACAATAAAATAGAGATTCCCAAGAAGAACAGACATTTCTGTCCATTAAGTTTCAATACTCAGTCCTTCTCAGCGACCATGTGACACACAGTCCTAACTGTGTTTGGTGGCTCAGAACACAGTGGCAGCCACAGAGACAAAGTAACAGACTGCCAAGGACTGTGCCATGTGGAGAAACTAACGCCCCACTCCTGTGTTCCAGGATTCTGTTGCAGGCTCTGGCTGGCATTACCCTTGCTAAGCTCTTCCCACTCTGCTCTCATCCCTCACCAGCTCTCCCAGCTGTTTCTCTCTCCCCCTCCCCCAGCCTGCTGGCCACAAGCTCAGCTTCCCTGGCAGTTACTTTCAGGACATCATCCTGCTTCATTTTTCCTGCATTCAAACAGCTGAAATCTCTGGTGTATGCAGAGCGACAGTCCATGAAGAGGAGGGGTATCTCTGTCTTTTATTTCCCTTGTTGCAAACAGAGAAATGGAAGAGGCAAGAAAATAGTTGGGAGAGGCACTGCAGAGGCCACCATGATGGTAAGATGCCTTAGGCATGTCAGTTTTTTTTTTTTTAATCAAAAAGATTATAAAGATGGCACTAGGAAAATAGTCCCCTTTGAAAATCCTCTTAAAGGTTCAGTTAATAAAATTATCTCTGCAAGAATAATATGCCTTCTTGAATTTCAGGGAACTGATGATAAGAACCCTTAAATACATATTCTCATACTATCTACAGTCTTCAGAAACCAGGAAAGTGAGGTAGCCATCTAATACCAATGTTGGGTCATAAACAAGTGGAATTTCATAATCAAGAGCTTTCTGTTTATAAGCCTGTTAGAGAGAGGCTGAAAACGACACAATACGAACCTTATCTGTAAACATGAGTTCTAAGTGTGGCTTGGAGATGAATCCCTGGCGGTCTTAATACTAGAAGAGAAATAATGAAAGTGATAAAGTGCAGAACAGGAAAACCGTCTTCTGACTAGACTACAACATGTAAGTTATTACATATTATATGCAAATGGGAGCAGGTGGGGGAAGTTCTACAGCTTAT